GAGTTTAGTTGAAGTTGGTTGTCCTTCATCCAGCAAGAAATGTCTGTCAGGCAGGCTGAGATGCGAGCAGCTACCGTCAGATCCTCTGGTTTGAATGATAGGTAGAGTTGTGTGTCATCAGCATAGCAGTGATAGGAAAAAACATGTTTCAGAATGACAGATTCTAGTGATGACATGTAGATGGAGAAGAGAAGTGGTTCAAGCACTGAGCCCTGAGGCACCCCAGAGAAATCAAGAAAAAAATCTCCTCGCTCATCCAAAAAAAAAAAAGTTGTCAGACACTACTGGAACTTAAAAAGGGGCCTGGTTCTATGGTCAGATGAAACAAAAAAATAGCTTTTTGGCAGCAAACCCACCAGACGGGTTTGGTGCAAACAAGGTTAAAACGTACCCCGTGCCCACAGTTAGATATACTGCTGGATCTTTAATGATGTGGGCCTATTTTTTTTGCTGGAGGTCCTGGACATCTTATTCAGATACATGGTATCATGGATTCTTGCATATACCAACAGATAAAAAATCAAAGCTTGAAAAATGAAGCTTCTGCCTTGGCCGTCCCAGTTACCCGACCTGAACCATAGAAAATGAATGGGGTAAACTGAAGAGAAGAAGCACCAACATGAAGCTGGGAATCTGAAGGATCTGGAGAGATTCTGTATGAAGGAATGGTCTCTGGTCTCTTGTCAGGTTTTCTCCAAACTCATCAGGCATTATAGAAGAAAACGCAGAGTTGTTATCTTGGAAAAAGGACGTTCCAATAATTGGGTGCCAATAATTATGGCCAACGTAAACTAGATAAAAACATTTGTCATAATGTGACTTTCCCCCTACTTTCAATTGTTTTACTTAAATGAAAGGTTAGAATTTTGTGAATTTTTTTTTATGAAATGATTTACCAAGGGTGCCAATATTAGTGGGCACTGTATAACAGGGGCAAACAAGCTTAACAAGGTAACAAGATACACCTGGGGAGACTAATCAGCATGAAAAACTACAATGAACTACAAACTGGGCACTAGGAAGGAAATACAACAAAAGTCCAGACAAGACATGTGGAATATATGACAGTAGCGTTAGAGCATCAAATTAATTTTAGAGTATCAGTTTGTTCAGACAATTGATATACAGTAAAGGTGAACCACTTGACATCCATATACATTAACCTTCTAAATGAAATGTAGAAATGTATTTTTTATGTAAAGTAATATAGCTAGACTGTAATTTATAGATTTCCAAATATTTTTTAATCAAAGCAAGTGCTTTCCTATTACAGTATGCTATTAATTACCAATGAATAGATTACATGTTTTTGTGTGCAAGGTAATCTTACCCTGCGGGACATTGGCTGACGCAGAGTTGAGAGGGAACATGTTTAACAGGAACAAGTTAAACATGCCTCCCCCCCCCCCCCACCAGCTGTATACAACATTAATCACAGTTTTTGCATTAATCTATGTAAAGCAAGTAGTTAATGTGCAATAGCAACGTAGCCTACTACTAATGGGTTTGTTAATATGTATTTTTACAGATTTTAAGATGATGACGACAGGAAGCATATGTGAGTGAATGAGATGAAACAGATGACAGAAATGTTGCCGTTTATGATAGATATATCCAGACACATATACCAATTATAATTACACTCACACTTTTTCATGTTTTCTAATCAGATCTGGACAGTTATCAGAGTTCTATGTAATCCATAATTTGTATCTTGCTCTAACACTCCTTACTGTAATTTAACAGTTGGTTTAGGATATCATTTGCTCGCAAAACCCACTATCATCATATCAACTGTAATACAATGTTTGTACATCAGAGAAAATTTGACAGAGTGTTTGGCATGTGGGGTGTGAACAATTTCTTGGAAGTAACGTCTGTTCAGATTCACGTCAAACATTTAATGAGCTTTCATGATACAGTTTTGTAGCTTGACAGATGACAGTTGTTGATACAATGTTGTTTTTCCACTAACATGTTTTTTCCCCCAGCAGTTAACACACATATTTGAAGTCGAGTGAGCTGAGAAAAAACCTCTTTCTTAAATTGTCCTTGCTCTCATATAGCGCTGGAGTGTCAAATTGATTTGAGTGAATCCATTCATTCAGACAATTCATATAAAGGTGAACCACTTGACCATCATTTACATCAACCATCTTAAAGAAATTATCATAATATTTGTAATGCAATATAATGTAGTGTAGGCTAATATATGTAATATATCTAAATCATACAAAATTATTATTCTAAATAAAAGCCAGACGATTTTGTCTTATTAATAATAATTTGCTATATTTGACCTTTTACGTAATTTGGAGTAGAAACAGGTGGAGTGACTTTATTCTTTGGTCACAGCTGATTGGTCCAAATTCGGTTTGCAACCTCTTACCTGGAACATAACCTGCCCCAAGCATAAGTTACTATGGCGATGAACACTGCTAAAACCCACTGCTGAGTAATTGACAGAAATTTCATTTTTGGGTGAACTAACCCTTAAACCACAAAACTAGTTATGATTTTTAGGACCCCCTTGAAAACGAGATGATGCATCTCAAGGGGTTTATCCTATAAATAAAATTTACATACTTTGGGCAGGTTAAAAAGGAAGATCACAATGCTCACAGAAAACACAGCGATTATGATGCTGAATTATTTTTATTAAACTGTTGTCTTGTTGTTCAATGAAAACGTCTCAGGTTAAGAATTTAACCCGGTTCCCTGAGAGGAGAATGAGTCTGCGTCATGGCGTTGATGCTATAGGAACACTTCTGTGTGAGTCAGGGATTCTTTGATTCGGAAACAAACTGTAGAACCTGATGAATGTGTGCAGAGAGCACCAACCTGCCACAGCACAAACTTCCTGTAAAGGTACACCCCTTGCAAGTGCTTTGGAAGACACTACTCTTCTAGTGGGGTGGGCCCTGACTTAAGCGAGAAGCCATTTTGCGCCAATCATGGAGAGGGTGATAGCATCTGTAATCCAATGTGACATACACTGCTTGGTGACCGCATTGCCACCACCAAAGCATACCAAAAGCTGAGATGATTGCCAGTGTTTTCCAACCTGGGGGTTGCTAAATGAAGTTCCCAAACGTAATTTCGGGAGGAGTCTAATCTTTCAATTAAAGCTGCAGTCGGCAAGTCTGGCAGATTGAGTGGACTTAGGCAAAATTTTGAATGTTTACAACTCTCATGGCCCTCCCCCACTATCAACGAATACCCTCCCACCGAGTTCATGCTTGTCAGTGCGTGTGCACCAGATTTTCAGTGAACGCGCCCGTCTCATCAGCATCCATCAACACCATGGATTATTTGGAGGTATGCTGTCCTGGCTAATCTACCGATAGATTGCAATTGCTAACGTCATTTATACTCTAAATGAGCTTACTTGATTTTCCGCCATCACTCTTCGTTACTGTGCGAACTTCAGGCGTGTGCATGTGATTGTAACGTGCGCGAGGGGTGGCGTGTGCCCGATCTGTGATTGACAGTCAGATCTCACACCCCCCTGCGCTGATTGGACATGATGAACCGGGAGCTGTGGATTTTTGCTAAACAAATAACACGCTCCAGGTGGAGTTAGAAGCTCGGTTTTTTCTAAAACCACTTTATTTATGTTGTTCTGTCGGATTATAGTGTCGATTTCACTGAATATGATCAAAAAAATGTTGCCGACGGCAGCTTTAACTGTCAGAGCATATAAGCAGAGCACCTTGCTCTGGCATCAGCTGTTTTGGCATCCCTTCACCTTCCCAACTCCACCAACATAATTTTGGCATCTTGCTACCAGACTCATCATCCACGCATTAGTAGTCCCAATGGGGCGTAACATGAACCGTAGGTTTTGTTTTGTGTGAAAACATGGCTGAAAAAAGTGAAAGGGTTTTATATCCGAGTTCTGAGGGAAAGCATGAATAAAGTAGTGTTTATAAGCGATGCGCTGCTTTGCTATAGCGGTTACCGGGAAAAACGCTCTATTTCTGCTGTTCCATAAGCGCCATCTACTGTCAGAGAGTGGATTTACATTTTCATTCAGACGGTCTGCAGTTTTTGTTTGTGAAAATCAGACCATATTTTTATGTGCTGTTGTAAATTTAAACCAGTTGATGGAATATTAGCTAATGAGTCATTAAGAATTTTGATTGTTAAAATAGGGGTTTCCAAGTGTATGCAAAGACATTTTCAAGACTTACTGTTCAGCAAAACAGCTAATAAAGAGACAGAAATAATCTTTTTCTGAAATGGATTGAATATTCTTTACTAAGAAAATATAGGATCTCTAAATAAACTGTCACCTTCTAATCACCCCCGAAAAAATGTTTGGTACCACTTTTTAGTAACCATCATTAATAACATTAACAAACATTACATTACATACAGACAGAGTTATATTACAATAACATAACAGTCTACATAGTATTGTAGACATAATATTGGCATCAATATTATGAAATTCCAGATAAATATATACAGTATATAAGAATAAACATATCAAGAAAAAACATAAAAAAGATGCTATCATGTATCGATTTAGCATTAATTACACAGAGTTGTCTGTTGTTACCATCTTCCAGTCCAGTGGGTTTTTAGTGGTCGACCGATATATCGATATATTGAATATTGAATCTAAAAAACATTTTCATTTCATAAACCATTTGCAAACTTTGGCAAATCCAGCTGTGAATTCTTGTGGTGTACATTTATAGCCATTATAAAAACGTGTGTACTCTTATTATTTATATTTTTAACAATTTCTTTATTTGCGAAATATACTATAATGGGATTGCAAAAGCAACAAGTTGCGATCTAAAGTATATATCGGTTTATTTCGCAATTCAAAATATTTCATCATTATTTTCAAATTATGTCTAATTTAGTGAACATTATGTAAAATACATATAAATTTCATTTGAACAATTAGCATGTGTTTTTACTATCTTTAAATTAAATAGTGTGATATATATCGGCCATTGGCCAACCAGCGAAAATATCGGCATTGGCATCAGTTATCAAAAAAATCAATATCGGTCGACCACTAGTTTTGACCACAGAAGTGTGCGTGTAAAGAATTAGTAGAATTTATTTAGTGATCATATTTTAGGTTCTGTTGAGATGTGTGTTCTCAGTAGCGTCCTCCTCATCCTGCTCCTCCTCCGTGTCTGGCTCGTGGATGAAACCGTAGCGCCGATAGACAGATCCATCTCGGCTGGTGTAGACCACATCTGCCTCGTCTCCGCTGTCCTCTGGTTCTGGTACTCCGTGGGGCATGGGCCGGGAACTGGCCTCCCCGCTCAGCCGTTCGTAGCTCTGTCTCCAGCATAACCTTTTTTTGGCCCTTGCCTGTACCAGAGCAAACACCACTAGAGCTAGCACTACAGCTAGCAGCAGAGCAGCGGGTAAGGCTGCAGATGCGTGCTGTACCGCTTGGGACCTTAGAATAACTTCATCCTGAGTTTTACTCGGAACAGGTGCCTCAAGACATAATGCTGTAAAAAAAGAAATGGCATTAAAGGGACTTTTTCACAGTAAAACCTGTAAAATGAATATTATAGACATGCATATGTTGATGAGCCAAAACATTATGACCAGTCACCTACTGTTGATCATCTCCAATCAAGGCCACATATTATAGTCTGGTTATATCAGATAGTAAGAAAACAATCAGTTCTCAAATCAACGTGTTGGATGTTGGATGCAGGAGAAATGAGCAGAAATAAAGATCTGAGTGACTTTGACAAGGGCCAAATTATTGCAAGGCGACTGGGTCAGATTATCTCTGAAATGGCAAGGCTTGTGGGTTGATCCCGGTCAGCAGTGGTGAGAATTTACCAACAGGAGGGACAAACCACAAACCGGTGACAGGGTGTTGGTCACCCAAGCCTCACTGATGCACAGGGACAACGAAGGCTATCCCGTCTGGTCCGAGCCTACAGAAGGTCTACTGTGGCACAAGTCGTACTCAATTTTTATGATGGTTATGGGAGGAATGTGTCAACCCACAGTTCATCTCACCCTGCTGCGTATGGCAATCAGAGTGCATGTGATGACCTCATCCACCGTCGAAAGCACCTACAATGGGCATGCGAGCGCCGTAACTGGACCTTGGAGCAGTGGAAGAAGGTCGCCTGGTTCGATGAGTCCAGTTTTCTTTTTATATCATGTGGATGGTGTGTAAGAAGTGCACCAGGATTCACTCTGGGACGACAACAAGGCGATGGATGAAGTGTGACGCTCTGGGCAATATTCTGCTGGGAAGCCCTGGGTCCGGCCATTCTTGTGGATGTAAATTTGAAATGTCCCGCCTACCTAAACGATGGTCTTACCTTATAGCAGTGCCCTCTTTCAGCAGGATAATGCACCGTGTCACACTGCACACATTGTTCAGGAATGGTTTGAGGAACATGGTATATTTCAAGGTGTTGCATTGGCCTCCAAATTCCCCAGATCTCAATCCAATTGAGCAACCGTGGGAACTGCTGGACCAACAAGTTCGATCCACGGCGACTCCACCTCGCAACCTACGGGACTTGAAGGATCTCCTGCTAATGTCTTGGTGCCAGAGACCACAGGACACCTTCAGGGGTCTTGTAGAGGCCATGCCTCGGTGCATGAGCAGCATATTAGGCAGGTGGTCAGAATGTTTTGGCTCATCGATGTGTGTGTGTGTGTGTGTGTGTGCATATATATATATATACACTACCGTTCAAAAGTTTGGGGTCAGTGAGAATTTTATTTTTATTTTTTGGAGGAAAGAAATCAATACTTTTATTTATAAAGGACAGTAAAGACATTTATAATGTTACAAAAGATTCTATTTCAAACAAATGCTGTTCTTTTGAACTTCCTATTCATCAAAGAATCAAAAAAAAAAAAAAAAAAAAAAACTGTACAACTGACAGACCAACAACTGTTTCAACATTGATAATAATAATAAATGTTTCTTGAGCATCAAATCCTCATATTATACTGATTTGTGAAGGATCATTTGACACTGAAGACACTGACACTGGTGATGCTAAAAATTCAGCTTTGATCACAGGAATAAATTACACTTTACTATATATTCACACAGAAAACAGCTGATTTACACTGGAATAATATTTAATACTATAACTGATTTTTGTTGTATTTTTAATCAAATAAGCGCAGCCATGGTTAGCAGAAGAGAATTCTTTTAAAAGTATTTAAAATCGTACCGACCCCAAACTTTTGAACGGTAGTGTATATATATATATATATATATACACTCACCGGCCACTTTATTAGGTACACCTGTCCAACTGCTCGTTAACACTTAATTTCTAAGCAGCCAATCACATGGCGGCAACTCAGTGCATTTAGGCATGTAGACATGGTCAAGACAATCTCCTGCAGTTCAAACCGAGCATCAGTATGGGGAAGAAAGTTGATTTGAGTGACTTTGAACGTGGCATGATTGTTGGTGCCAGAAGGGCTGGTCTGAGTATTTCAGAAACTGCTAATCTACTGGGATTTTCACGCACAACCATCTCTAGGGTTTACAGAGAATGGTCCGAAAAAGAAAAAACATCCAGTGAGCGGCAGTTCTGTGGGCGGAAATGCCTTGTTGATGCCAGAGGTCAGAGGAGAATGGCCAGACTGGTTCGAGCTGATAGAAGGGCAACAGTGACTGAAATAACCACTCGTTACAACCGAGGTATGCAGCAAAGCATTTGTGAAGCCACAACACGCACAACCTTGAGGCGGATGGGCTACAACAGCAGAAGACTCCACCGGGTACCACTCATCTCCACTACAAATAGGAAAAAGAGGCTACAATTTGCAAGAGCTCACCAAAATTGAACAGTTGAAGACTGGAAAAATGTTGCCTGGTCTGATGAGTCTCGATTTCTGTTGAGACATTCAGATGTTAGAGTCAGAATTTGGCGTAAACAGAATGAGAACATGGAACCATCATGCCTTGTTACCACTGTGCAGGCTGGTGGTGGTGGTGTAATGGTGTGGGGGATGTTTTCCTGGCACACTTTAGGCCCCTTAGTGCCAATTGGGCATCGTTTAAATGCCACGGCCTACCTGAGCATTGTTTCTGACCATGTCCATCCCTTTATGGCCACCATGTACCCATCCTCTGATGGCTACTTCCACCATGTCACAAAGCTCTAATCATTTCAAATTGGTTTCTTGAACATGACAATGAGTTCACTGTACTAAAATGGCCTCCACAGTCACCAGATCTCAACCCAATAGAGCATCTTTGGGATGTGGTGGAACGGGAGATTCGCATCATGGATGTGCAGCCGACAAATCTGCGGCAACTGTGTGATGCCATCATGTCAATATGGACCAAACTCCCTGAGGAATGCTTCCAGCACCTTGTTGAATCTATGCCACGAAGAATTGAGGCAGTTCTGAAGGCAAAAGGGGGTCCAACCCGTTACTAGCATGGGGTACCTAAAAAAGTGGCCGGTGAGTGTATATACACGAGTTAGTTCACGTAGTGTAACAGCGCAACGCTTCTGAGTTGTACGTCACACGTAGGCTCACTATTGGCCGACACTGGTCATGTGTGTGATGAAGTACCCAGGCCCGTCGCCAAGGGGGGACATTAGGGGGCCGTGCCCCCCCAGATGACACAATGTGCCCCCGTAATCATATGGTTATTTAGCAAACTTACTATTGAGAGCAAAAAAACGTATCCACGTATTCCATAACGAAATGTCGTCAGCAGCATTTAGCACACAGGTGCACTAATCTCTGTCATTTTAAATAACACATTGTCTTCAGAAATATGAAAATTAGTCGGAGCGTGTAAGGCTCTGCGCAAGGCTTACCTTCCCCTGGCCAAGCGGGCTTGTTGAATACTCTGATTCATTTGCCTGCTAAAAACAGCATACTGTTTCCACATAAAAAAAAGGTAATTTTTCTCAGAATTGCGTGATATAAAATCAAAATGGCAAGTTATAAAGTCAGAGTTGAGTGATATACAGTCACATTTGCGTGTTATAAAGTCAGAATTGTGCGAAAAACTCTGAATTGAGAGAAATCCATGTGAGAATTGTGAGATAAAAAGTCGCAATTATCTTTTCATTTTTTTTATTCCGTGGCGAAAACAAGCTTCCATATACTTCTGATTGCTTTTAGAGGGAAAAGCTGTCCATAAATGCTGGTCTAGGATCAGTTTTCTCCGTAATAAAAGAATATTGGCTAAACTCCGGTGCTTTGAGCGGTGAGTGGATTAGTTCTATGCGCGTGCAAATCCTCTCGTTATAATAAGCAGTTAGGCTATGTAAATAAGGCATTATTGTGTATCAGCTTTACTGATAGCCTAAGAACTTTGTGAGATCGCGATGAAGTTGTATAACTGCTTTTTAAAGATAATAAAATAGGCGCTCTTTGCGAGCTTTCTGCCATGTCAAATCCTGCATATAGCCTAGTAAATGTTTTTAAAGGTGAAACGCATATCCTCATGGTGTTGGTTCACCCTCCGCCTATGATCAGAAACTTAATATTTTAGTTTTGGTGTTGTTTAAATATAGAATTTGGTCTATTTCAGTTATATTAGACTAAATAGAGGATGTTATTGTTTTTTGTGACTGTCTGTTTTGTAGATCATAAAAAGTGTGCCCCCCCCCATGAAAATGAAATGCCCCCCCATTCTATATGTTCTGGCGACGGCCCTGCGTACAACACAGAAGCGCTGCGCTGTTACACTACGTGAACTAACTCCAGGCCCATAGAGAAGGAAATTAGTAGTTGAATAAAGTTGTTATTTTTGTTTTGTTTTTGCGCACAAAAAGTATTCTCGTCGCTTGCTAAACTTAAGATTGAGCCACTGTAGTCACTTGGACTATTTTAAAGATGTCTTTACTAACTTTTCTGGACCGGGCAAGTTTCAATCCCTTAGAAGCCTATGGAGGAGTGATCCAGCTCTCAGATTTAATCAAAAATATCTTAATTTGTGTTCCGAAGATGAGCGAAAGTCTTACGGGCTTGGAGCAACATGAGGGTGAGTAATTACTGACAGAATTTTCATCTTTGGGTGAACTATCCCTTTAATAGTTCTTTTTTTTTTCCAGCTAAACAACCACAACAATTTGACAGCTATAACAAAAAGGAGTATTTTCAGTGAATTATGGCATATGTTTTTCATCTGTTCCTCAGAAAAAGCTGTTGCAAGTCATAAAGAAAAATTAGTACTGCAAGTTAAACAGGAAACATATGACTACCATTGTAAAAATGCATGGCATTGTGTGTCTATGAGAATAACCCATTTAAAGGCTTAAAGTAAAAACTTGAGACATACCTGAGCCTGTTTCGCAGAGACAACACGTCCTGTCCTTCTGCCCCGACTTGCAGCAGGGTACACACTGACTGTCAGTGGCATGTAGGGCAAAACCTGAATTACAGGTGAGACAGTTCCTGGGCCCGGCACTGGAACAATGTCTACAGGTCTCATCACAGGGTTCACAAATTCCCTAACATAATTGAAAGAGATACATGTGGAATGAAATCTTTTGTTCTGTTTGACAGTTGCAGTGTATTGTTGGCTTATGTATATATAAGAAAAAAAAAATTACAATGAAAGCAAAAGGGCTTCACAGAAATGTGAAGCATATCATTTTCTAAAAAACTTTAATTGTTCTGTTAAAATTTTTATTAGTTCTGTTCATTTTTATTATTTGATCTGTAAAGCCATTTAAATATTTTAAATTATTGTTTCAGGGTTTATGGTGGTGTATGCTGACAAAATTGGATATAACTTTATACATACCTTTACACTAAATTCGTGTTCAGGTTTTATTCACGTCTTGTGCCTACACTATTGAAACATCAAGTATTTTAATGTTTATGGACAGACCTCAATGTAACCTAGATTTTGCTTAAAGAACCAGTTTTGATGATTTGTAAAGACATGGGAATGCATGATCATTATGTAACGGTTAATGCCCGACGAGGTGTCCATTGTGGACGACGGCGAGGCGTGGCATCGGATGGTTGCCTCCGCCAAACTCCATTAATACCTAGACAATGGGCCTATTTTTTTAAGTTAGGCTTGTCTAGGCATGGGCACTTTTGGGTTTTTTTAACCTATAATTAAAACACACAGGTAGGCAGAGTTATTTTTTTATGTTTAACGGCTAACTAGATGTTTGTTTTGACTGCCTGTTTACTTTGACTGCCTTGCTATGGTTACTCACAGCCGATGTAGCCAGCGCATTCATTTATTAATTTCGAACGGTAAACAGTCAGTTTCACCAGAACTCCTTTACTAGGTGTCCTCTATCACTTTTTAATGGACACTCTGCAGCCACTCTGAATCGAGTATTCACCCAGATCATGGTATAAAATGTATTATACATCTGATGTATTTTAGGACACATTCCTTATTACAAATAAGACATGATGACTATTCTGGGAATTTTGTAGTGCCTTTAGATCAAAAGATTCTTAAGAAACATACTTTCCAGTCACGCATTTTTGTTAGATCTAAAGATGGTTTCGTCTTGGTTGCCAACGCTCAAATAAATCTAAAGAGTAAATTCTGTTATAAAGAGTTTAATAGTTCAACATTTACTTTATAGTCTTTAGACTTGTTTATACTTTGTTAAATTGTGTAAACTTAAATGTTTTAGTCACAGATATTGTTGTCTTGCACAATGAACATGACACTATTTTGCAGGCAAGAAGCTGTTATCTTTTAAAATGGCTATAGATTACATTTCCATCCTAATCAATCAATGACATTCTAACAGACGAACATTTGTTAGCTACAACAGCCACGTGATGATGGCTCACATTTGGATTACATTTTTCAAGAATTAGTAATGATAGTTTTCATCTTTTCACATAAATAGCAGTAAATGATGATGAGGTACTACTATAAAATACAGGGATAAACTTCCACACCCACTCTGACATGAGCACTTACACCCTGTGAGTAATATCGACTCTCCTCGCAGCGAGGGTAACACACGCCATCCTGCAGGACGCTACCCCAGTCACACGTCACACATCCCTGAGGAGTGCTATCTGCAAACAACACAGACACACGCACATGAGAAAGGGCGAGGCGTATGGAGTTACCTTCAAAGAGATGCAAATCTGAAGGTTTTGTTGAGGTCAGAGTTTCACTTCCTTAAGGGAAAGTAGGCAGGTAGAAATTAATTTTCATTGTAACTGACATTGTGCCATAAGATCTGTTGATTGAGCTTAAATTGTGAACCCAAAATATTAGTGGAGCCTTTTAGAGTGGGAGGTCTTTAGTAAGTATGAGTACCTTGTAACTACTAGATTTCAAATCTCTTTCTTTTCGGGGAATCCTGTTCCGGCCTAACTTCCTTAGAGATGGACAGGAATGCTAATAGATTTTTTCCAGGAATGATTTACTTCTTTGGAGGTTAGGTCAACAGGTTTTACAGGTTTTATATAGCGGTTTCTATAGCATGCATTTTTAGCACATTAAAGCTGCAGTCCGGCGTTTTTCCTCTTTGTCGCCATCTCTGTTCGAAATCTGCAATTGCAGTCATTCGCGAAATTATCAACTTTACGTGAGTTGTAGTTCAACACCCTCGACACCTCACAGCGCGGATGAACACAATGTTTGAGGAGACTGTGAGGCTGTCAGTCACCGTGTCGGTGTGGATACTGTCATTCACAATCACAGATTATTCTTTTTGGAAGTATGACCAACATAAGAATTTTCACCGGAAAATGTCATCTGAACTAGTAAGAAACGTCCACTTTTGTTCTGGTTCTGACATTGCAGTAAATCGCGCTGATTAAATCTAACAATCGCTTATAAGTTATCATATCACGCAAAACCGTGCAAATTATACTTTGTTCTAAAATTGTTAATGTTAACAACATAAGCAAGCATTGCGTGACTACATGTAATGTCCTTCCGATATGTATCCTTGTTTTCGCATGGGTCCGGTTGCAGTCTCTTCTTTCTGTAGCCACTCCGAAGTCTTTTGCATTTTACAGCGGGTGAATCTCTAGTTGTCACTGATGATTGTTGTTTGAACCTTTCTGGATCCGCCATCAAATTAATACATTTAATTATATCAAGTGCTGTGAGAAAAGGCTATAAATCTCCACCTCCAACATCCTCACACGCAATATAGCCTACTAGCCGAGACTCCTTCTTTATGTGTACAGATGTGACGTAATGACGCAAAGACATGCTCGAATCACCCGCGGAAATCCACCAGTACCACTGGAATTAAAAACATTATTACAACCTTACCGCTTTGAATCGAGCTACGGCAAGCAGATAGTTTTGAACACTGGCTGGTTATGTATTTTCTCAAAATTTGGATAATTTTTAACCCAAAAAAAGCTACGGACTGCAGCTTTAAAACCAATCAGCAAACTGAATATCTGTTTGCATTGATGTTTTGAGATCAAACCAGGGCCACTATATAATGATAAGAATGAAGATTGTAGTAGATGCTGGCATTACAGAATCTCATAAAATGTAAGAACAATGATAACAGGAGCACCTGTGCAGGACTTGCAGCTGGTGTGGCACTGTCTGCAGCTGAGCCGGCTTTCAAAAAAGCGCTGTGGACACTGATCCACACACTGTCTGGTGCCCTGCAGGTCCAACAAAGGAGGTGTGCACACCCGGCAGGCGTCCGGCCCTGGGCCCGTGCACTGCTCACAGGAACGGTCACACTTCTCACAGCGCTCCTCTGAGCTGTAGTACCTGAGGGCGGGACATCAAGACATGTATCTCTTGTTATTATCTGCAGGCAATGAAGAGGAGGCAGGAAGAGACTGTGGAATAAGATCAAAACAGGCCAGAATCGAACCTGAATTTCCCATTTGAGCACCACAGCTCAACATATCTGTAGCCACGCCACTAGGGCACTCTGATAGCTGTACAAACCTTGCCGTTTCACCAGGCCATAACAATTTATCCCATGTGTAAAGGATCAGCTATATGAAATATTAATAATCAATAATAACTTGTTATTATTCATTATGAATATTTGGGTCAGTTAATTGGATTAACTTGATGTGGCTGAATTAATATTACAATCAATTAATCAGTTCGTTCAACGAACTCTTTTGATTATTAATTTATTCTAAGAAAAGGGTATCTTCCATGGTCACAGAAGAATAATTATTTCTTAGCATGTACAGGAAGGGGGTTCCCCCGTATCACCCGAAACAGTGTTTGCGGCAGGATGAAAAACCAAGAGAAGAGGGCGGTCACTGTTGCCAGCCCCTGATATAGTCTGAGAAAGAACCACCCCTAAGGTTTGAATGGACCAATGAGTAAGGTGACATGTCCGAGAGGGGAAGCGGCTCTTAGTTGATTTATGGTCTTTGTCCCCAGCGTGCTTAGACTGTTCATTCAAGCTCAAATAGACATAACAAATTCACATTGCATTCTAAGAGAAGGTGATGTACATCAAAGTGTGTGTCATTAAATGAGGATTAATTAGGTAGGAAGCATGATACAGGTGAGGTTATTTTGACCGTTGGGTGGTTGTGCAACCACATACACCCCAATCAAACATACAATGTTGTTATACATAATAGTACACGAGACAGTAAATCATCACAGTTTCTGTGAGGCATGTTCCTTCATAGATCAGAGTAATACCGCAAAGTTTATTTAATTAAAGATTGTCTCTCTCTCTCTTAAGCATGTGGCGCATGTGGCCACATTCCTCTGCGGTCGTAAAAGTCTGTTATCAGTCTTAAAGTGTTCTGTAACCGGACACCCGGCTGACAAAGTAACTTCATTTGTGAGAAGTTTCATAGGGAGAGTTTCATAGACCTTTATATTCATTAAATATAATGAATATGAATAATTAGTGTGTGTCTGACGGGTCCAGACCTTACACATGTCAAAGTAATTCTTTACCTAAAGTCAGTCTTTAACTACTTTAAGTTATGAAAAGTTTTAGGAGCAATCAGTTTAATCTAACTCTGGTACTAGTTGCTTTCCTAGCTATTAATTAGGAGTGGATGGATGAAATTTTGTTGTGTGTGTGTAAGATGATCTCACCCTGTGGGACAGTGGCTGACACAGAGATGAGAGAGGAGATGAAGGTAGCCTGGTGCACAGCTCAGACAGTCTCTGGGAGACGCCCCGGTGCAGGTGGCACACACATGATCACAGGGCATACAGAAACCCAGATCTACCCCGTCGGCCTCCTCATGGGCACTGTAAGTTCCCACAGGACATTTGCTCACGCATGAACCATCTGGAACACAAACACAGTCTATTTAAACCAGTAACTTTAAGTAGAACTTTTTTGTTTCTACTGCACTTCATATCCAAGAGAGGGATTAAAAGTCAGACGATGGCGTCGATTTTACCATATTTCGAGCCCAAACATCCGACACAATTTTTATTGACAGAATTTTAGGTAATAGTAGGCCCACATCTGATTAGCAGAACTATTTCAGCTAATTCAACATGACTTAGCTAGTTAGCAAAGACCTACCTACAGCTGTGCACTGGTGTGTACACCATATTAAACACAAACTATGTATTTTTTAACTCTCTGTTGAAAATGTATACATCAATAATTAATTACAGGTTGTGATTCAGAGGAGTAATTGGGTCCACATAAAGTGGGTACTAACTGCCCCATCTTTAAAAGATAAAGTTTTGCAAAAGCATAATAGGGGCACTTTAATAGTAGATCTAAACTTAAGAATGTATTGACACAAGTTCAAGTCATACGTACTGTGGAGGTAGTTGGGCAGGGCACAGGTCTGGCAGTCAGTGGGTCCCGGCCCCTCGCAGGACTGGCAGAGCCGATGACATGCTTGGCAAGTGAACTGGTTGTTTTGGAGGAACGTTCTGGGTGGGCAGTCTGAATCCCCGGTAACCCCACACATCATGGTGTTGGGATCAAGAACGAGACTCTTTTCACACTGCAGACACTGGGTGGGCTCAGGACCTTCACAGCGTGCACAGGTCTGGTGACATTCTACGGAGACAAATATGGGACATATAAGAACATTTTTATATTTGTCAGCCACATTTATCTACATATATTCAATCACTGCGATTATAAAATATAACCAGTAATTCATATAACCAGTTTGCTTGTGTAGTTGGTTGTTGTTCCATCTTATCCGTTTCTTTTTTGACAACAACAGGCTGGGCTAGTGTCGCCACCTTATGGACAAACTAATTCGTGCGAAAAAAATTCAAGATGCATATGCGAGCTGAACAGAGTATTTCCTGTTAGAAAAACACAATGTGAACAGTATGTGCGTATATGCTGATGACAAAACCTACATCACGTACGCTGTACGCTTAAAAAAAACCTATTATAGAATTTTGACTGTGAAACAACAGGCCAGGGGCAGTGTTGCTATCTTGTGGACACACAAATTAGTGCAAAAACAATTCAAGGCGCATGTGCAAGGTGAGTGAGCGTACATATGCACTCTTAGAAAAAAATGGCCCACGCATGCTATGCTGCTATGCTATGCAGGAATATGCTTTTGTCTGTGTCATTAATGTTAATGAAATAAAAAAATACAGCTCTAACAAAGATGAACTAAATATAATATTTAATATTACTAAAACTAATATTTAAATTGTACAGTGAACAAATAGTGTTATTTTACATTTAGGTGTAAGCTTGTAAGATACCCGAGTACCAAGCAGCATCTCCAGGTGCTCACTTGAGAACCAGACCAAAAAAGTTATGTGCACCCTAGTCTCAAAGCACAAACCGAACTGTTATTGGTTGCGTTACATGTCAGTCAAACGTCCTCTTGGGCGGTCCTTAGCCAAGAAAAGTCTGTCAGTCTAAAGGTCTGGCTACGCGAGACTATGTGCACACAACTGCTTATAATACATTACATTACAGATGATACTTCACCCTGGCATTCTTTATCAGAGGTCTGGTAATAAGTGCCCGTTGGGCACACCTCCAAACACGTGCCCTCGTAGAGTTTCGGGGTGAGGGAAGAGCAGGTCTCGCAGTCGTCAGATAGGGGACCAGAGCAGGTGGCACAGGTGGGATGGCAGCTCACACAGACCCCCTTATCCAAATCTTCAAAGTAACCCTTCGGACAGACCGCCTTACATGCTCCGTTTAAGAGCAAATAGAGAAAACTGCACCCTGAAATGAAATAGTTACACAACATATTTGAATTTCAAATGAACTTTCCACTGAAAGTAAGCAAGGTGTGTTAACTGATCTGTAAATTTGCACATGGATAGATAGCACACAAGATAATTTAACATAGAAGATGAATGTAATGTCATTCTACAGAAGTGACACTGACAGGTTTTTCGCTGTAACTGTTTCTACTCTTGTTAGTGATGTTTTGCACAGGATCTCAGCAGTAACAATCACTCACTAGTGCAGGTGTAAAAATTGTTGCACACGTCACAGTGAGTAGCACAGCGTCTGCATGTGCCGTCTTCTGCCACGTAGCTCATGGGGGCGCAGTTTTGCTTGCACTGCCCGTTGGCCAGATGAAGGCCTTCTCGACACGAAAGGCACTGCGTGCTTGTCCCATCGCAGGTCAGACAGAGTTCATCACAGGGTTCACATGTCCCCAGCTCAGTCTCAAAATAACCTCTGCAAGAAAAACAACAGATACAAGTTTTTTCAATGCATTGATCAATGTATGCTACTGGGCGACGGTCAGGATTAAACAAGGTCATTTGGCTTTCAGTTTAGCTTATGTTCAAAGTGATACATTTTATTTTAAGGTGTCCTTGTTTCACTGTAATTCTACATTTAAGTACTGAGTAATAGAATAAACTACAAGTACTTGCTAAAGGGCTAGGATTAGGTTTCAGTTTTGGGTCAGATGCATGTAATTATGCATAATCTATAGTTATTACTTTAGTAATTAGGCAAGGCAAGTTTATTTATATAGCACATTTCATACACAATGGTAATTCAAAGTGCTTTACATAGAAGAAATTAAAATGATCAAAAGAAATAAGAATAATTAAAACAGTTTGATGCAGTACAAACAGTCGGACGAACAGTGGACGAGTCCATTAGCATCTAATTCTTGCAATATTTTTCAGGTGATAGTATGCTGATTTAGTTACTGCTTTGACATGACTACTGAAACTAAAGTCTGACTCTAGAGACACACCCAGACTTGATTTTTTGTTGTTTGACCCCTAGCGTCAAGGTATGCATCCACCTTGAGAACTTCATCTTTGATTCCAAACGCAATGGCTTCAGTTTTGTCTTTGTTTAACTGAAGAAAGTTTTGGCACATCCAACTGTTGACTTCATCAATGCATTGGCACAGGGAGTCAATGGGGCTGTAGTCGTTGGGCGATAGGGCTAAGTAGTAGAGCTGTGTGTCGTCTGCATAGCTGTGGTAAGCAATTTTGTTCTTTCTCAGTATTTGGCTCATTGGGAGCATATATAGGTTGAACAGGAGTGGTGCAAGAATTGAGCCTTGAGGGACTCCGCATGTCATGGATGTCCACTCAGACTTATGGTCTCCTATACTCACATAATAACCTCTCCCTCCTAAGTATGACCTGAACCATTTTAGGACTATCCCAGAAAGCCCCACCCAGTTTTCCAGCCTATCAAGAAGTATGTAACGTGTAACAAGGTGTAACAAGAACATTGTTGGCCTACATTTTCAAATGATCCAATCAGCTAAATTTCAACTTTAAGTGTCACAGGAAAAAATATTATATATGCTGTATATTGTAGAATGTATTTAATCTAAGTGATCAGATAGATAGATAGATAGATAGATAGATAGATAGATAGATAGATAGATAGATAGATAGATAGATAGATAGATAGATAGATAGATAGATAGATAGATAGATAGATAGATAGATAGATAGATAGATAGATAGATAGATAGATAGATAGATCACATATTTAAAATTTCACAATATTGCAATGGCACTGTTTTTGCATGCTACTGCAAATATCTCATCAATTTTGAAGAATTAAAAATCCTTCAATACAGTCAAATCACAGTAATATTTAGATTCTATAAAAATATGAATATTTATAAAACATTAATGATGTTATATAAAGCATTTTATATATATTGTTGGGTTCGGTAAGTCTTTATCCTCACCAAGGCTGCATTTGATCAGCAATACAATAAAAACAGAAATATTGTAAAATATTATTACAATTTAAAATAACTTATTTCTGTTTTGATATATATACATTTACATTTATGATTTGATGCTCAAGAAAATGTTTTTTTTTTTAAATATTTTTTTGGAAACCATGATACAATTATTATATTTTTTTATTTAGGATTTTTTGATGAACAAAGTGCAAAATAACAGCATTTAGTTGAAATAGAAATCTTTTGTAACTTTATAAAAGTCTTTACCGTCACTTTTAATTAATTTAAAGCATTAATTATACTGTATAAAAGTATTTCTTTATAAAAAATAGTTTAAGGTGTTTTAAGGTGTCATTGTTACAGTGTAATTATATATTTAAGTACTGAGTAATATTAAGGAACTACATGTAATTACTATAGAGATAGGATTAGGATTTGGTTGAGGGTTAGTTGCATGTAATTATGCATCATTTACTGTTATTACTACGGTAAGTACATGTAACAAAGACACTGTAAAATTAAGTGTTACCAAAAACTCTTACTGAACCCAAACTTTTAACCGGCAGTGTAGTTGATTATATTTTAAATATATTATAAATTCCATATATTTTTGGTCCGCCTGTAAAGCATGTTCCAGAAGTTACAGCCATAGCGACTCACTCTGGGCACTCAGACCAGCAGCTGCCCTGGAACAGATAGAGCTGGTAAGAGTCCGTCTTACAGCTCACACACTCGTCTCTGCTCTCACAGGCCTCACAGTTAGCAGAACACCTCTCACACAACAAACTGGAGCTGTTTCCAAAGAAACCCAGAGGACAGCGGTCTACACACACGGACTCCTGCTCCAACATGTATCCTAGCAAAAAAGACGGCTATTAGAGTAGTTGAAAAAAGCAAACAGGCGTGTTAATAATATCTTATTTATTCAGCAAGTTCTTATGAAGCAGGAACCCATTAAAAGGAAATGTTTACGTTTATCAGGTGGGAGGGAAAGGAAAGCTAACCTATACGTTACCGGTAGCACAGGTGATGCAATTCTGAGCCTTGGGACCGTAACATGTCAGGCAAGATCCATCACAGAAACGACAAGTGCGACTTTCCCCTTTGGAGTAAGAAAAAAAAAAAAATACACGGTTTTATATAGTTTTCCATAATTTACTACAGGGATTTTCTAAGTTGTTGATGCCAAATATGATGATTTGAATAAAAACTTAAACGAAAATGAGAAATGTTGCTTCGATAAGTGAAATAAGTTAAGTTACTTAAATTACTAAAACTAAAACAGAAATTAAAATATTGAAATGTTAAAAATGATAAAAGCAATCTTAAACTAAAATGAATCAAAAATTAAATATAAAAATAAAAGCTCATTCAAAATATACTATAATACTATAATAATTACACTATAATAATATAAATACTGTAATAGAATATAAATAATAATAATAAAATAACATTGATGAGGATCTTAATGTAAAGGCAGCTGAAATATGAAGTGTGACTAAATTAAATAATTGGGTTACAATTTATTTTAAATGTCCTTCTTTCACTGTATTCATATATATATATATATATATATACACACACACACACACACAAATATATATATACATACAGAGTAATATTAATTAACTACATGTACTTACTATAGGGATAGGGTTTGGTTTAGGGTTAATTGCATGTAATTATGCATAATTTATAGTTATTACTACAGTAACTAACTACATGTAACATGTACACTGTAAAATAAAGTGTTACCAATAATTTTATATTTATTGTCATTGAATGAAAGCCCAAGCAAATTATTAACCCCATTTTATACTGTAATTTCTTTTAAGGATTTGAACATTTTCAAACTTGAAACATCAGAGCATATATTGTTATATAACATCAATTTGATACATGTTAAAAAAAAGTTACAAATATTAAATTCATATATTAAGTTAACGTGTAGAACAGTATAAGTAATTAGTAATACCTGCTAAATTACAGGACAGTGTTTTAAGTGTAGTACTACCAACAGAGGGCAGTATTACACCAACTGTAACAGGCATGAGCAAACTGAGGGCAGACTTATTCTTTTTATTGTTCTTATATTAAATGCCAGAAGTTCTCACCATCAACATATTGGCCTTCGAGGCAGCTGATCACCGGGCACTTCCCGTAAACTGGGCGGCTCCAGCCACTGCATCTGTCACAGTCTCTCACTCCAGGGCCATGACAGGTCAGACAGGAGCTGTGACAGGGCTGACAGCGCCACCCTCTGGTGTCTTTAAATGTGTCTGCTGGGCAGTCCTTCACACAGGTGCCGTCTGAAGGGTTGAATGCAGAAAAGATGTAAATGTATGTCCACAGACTGTTTATCCTCTTATTTTCAGTTTTACTCTTTACTTTGTGTTGTGATTTTCATATATACAGTAGTTATACAGGTATGAACAATACGCACTCCATTTAATTTCTTCACAAAGTGTGACATACACTACCATTCAAAAGTCGGGTCAGTACACTGTAAAAGTGATCAGTTGACTTAACTTAAAAAAGTGAGGAAAACCCGTTGCCTTGAAATTATAGAGTAATTGAAAAAATTAAGTTATATAGAGTTGTCAGGTTCACATAACTTAATTTTTTCAATTACGCATGAAGTTTATTACTTAATAATTTTAAGGCAGCGGGGTTGCTCACTTTTTTAAAGTTGTCAACTGATCAATTTTTACAGTGAAATAAATTAATACTTTTATTCAGCAAGGATGCATTAAATTGATCAAAGTGACAGTAAATAATGAACTGTATAACGTAAAGTTTAAGATTTCAAATAACTGCTGTTTCATTGAGCTGTCTGATCATCATCAAAGAATCCTGAAAAAAATAATTAACAGTTTCCATGAACAAAAATAATAATAAAGCATAACAGCTGTTTTCAACATTGATAATAATAAGAAATGTCTCTTGAGCAGCAAATCAGCATATTAGAATGATTTCTGAAGGATCATGTGACACGTTTCACAATATTACTGTATTTTTGAACAAATAAATGCAGCCTTGGTGAGCTAAAGAGACTTCTTTCAAAAACATAAAATCTTACTGACCCCAAATTTTGAAAGGTAGAGGTTCACAGGTAATACATACAGTGAGTTGTGTTATTTCATAGAATATTATTGTAGTAATAATTAAGAGGCAATGTTTGTGAATTTTGGACTGAGTGTATAATCATGAATATTAAATTTGCATGAATGAATCACTAACATTTTGCATTAACCATATTTGCATCCCATTTATAGTCCTATTCAAATAAGTGAGCAAGACTGAGTGAGTGCTGCAACAAAGAGCACATGCAAGGCTCTATCAGGCATTCTCAACCTTTTTTCTTGTAATGTTGGACCATATTTACATAATTATTAAATAAAATATAAAGGGGTTTCAGTCATAATAACTTTCGGGAGAGTTTATGAAACATTTTATTAAATGTAATTGGAATGTACATAGGTTTCGTCTTGGTGGGCTGCTGGAAGTTACATTGAAACAGCCATTTAGAACGTGAATAGTTTCATGGCTGAACAATTCATGTATGTAAATAATATAAGCAATTTTCGAATATTTCAGAAAATTAATGGACAATAAATTTAATTGTTTTTACCCCCTTGACGTTTAAAGAAAAGTGTTAATTTTTTTTGTTTTAATTGTTTTTAATACAATCTGTTTGGTCGACCAATGGCATTTTTTACTTTGCAAATCTGTTAATCTGCAATCTTAACTGCAAATATTATTAAATATATTTCCATTTCTATAAATATATTTCCATTTCTGTTGAACACAAAAGAAGGATGTTGGTAACCAGACAGTTGACTTAACCATTGACTTGCGCTGTCTTTTTTTCCTACAATGGAAGTCAATGGGGTTTCCTACAATCAACTCTCTGGTTACCAACATTCTTCAAAATATCTTCTTTTGTGTTCAACAGAACAAAGAAACTCATACAGGTTTGGAACAATAAGAGGGTGAGTAAATGATGATTTTTGAGTGAACTATTCCTTTAATGTAGTTTCAATTTAAATGAAAGGTTTAATCTATAAACATTATACAATAATGAACGCTTTATAGGCAAGACTTAACCGGCCAAAGTAATGTGAATGAAACAGCTATGGCTATCAGACGGGAAAATGAGAGCGAACGTTCAGAGGAAGTAGAGTACGCACTGTTCAGGAAGTATCCGCTCTGGCAAGTGAGACACAGGACATCGTTCCAGCAGTCCACACACGGATCTGTGCAGCTGATACACAGTCCTCTACCCCGGTCCTCATACGTCCTCTGGGGACAGTGCTGACGACACTGGTGTCTGTATCTGTATGGATAGAGAACAAACAACAAAGGCGTGTCACATTTTGACTGCATTGTTTAAAAAGTGAGCAGGCCTTCAACATAATATTTGAGGGCTGTTTAGTAGAATAAGCATGAGCTTTTTTAATGTCTGGTAATGCCAAAAACACAGCAATTCACACAGCTTCGCACAATCTTGCAGGTCATTTCTGAGTGTGGTTGTGGAGAATGCAGCATCTTTTGTTGTAATAACATTGTATTTACTTCCCTATTTCCATCAGCAGTAATGGTGCAATTCGCATAATTTGTGCCTAACCTACATTGAAATTTGGATTGTTTATATGTATATAAAAAATTTGTTAACTGAAATAAATCAAATCTAAAAAAACTGAAACTTTAGGCTGTCGCCAAGAAAATATTTCTCATTTTCATTAAAGCTGCAGTCCGTAGTTTTTTTAGGGGTTAAAAATTATCCAAAATACATATTTGAGAAAATACATAACCAGCCAGTGTTCAAAACTCTCTGCTTGCCTTAGCTCGATTCAAATCGGTAAGCTTGTAATAATGTTTTTAATTCCAGTGGTACTGGTGGATTTCCGCGGGAGATTCGAGCATGTCTTTGCGTCATTACGTCACATCTGTACACACACATCTGTACACACACATCTGTACACATAAAGGAGTCTCAGCTAGTATAAGCTATATTGCGTGTGAGGATGTTGGAGGTGGAGATTTATAGCCTTTTCTCACAGCACTTGATATAAACTTATCAATTTGATGGCGGATCCAGAAAGGTTCAAACGACAATCACCAGTGACAACAAATTCACCAGCTGCAAAATGCAAAAGACTTCGTTCGGACTTTGGAGTGGCTACAGAAAGAAGAGACTGCAACCGGACCCATGCGAAAACAAGGATACATATCGGAAGGACATTACATGTAGTCACGCAATGCTTGCTTACGTTGTTAACATTAACAATTTGAGAACAAAGTATAATTTGCACGGTTTTGCGTGATATGATAACTTATAAGCGATTGTTAGATTTAATCAGCGCGATTTACTGCAATGTCAGAACCAGAACAAAAGTGGACGTTTCTTACTAGTTCAGATGACATTTTCCGTGGAAAATTATTATGTTGGTCATACTTCCAAAAAGAATAATCTGTGATTCTGAATGCCAGTATCCACACCGGCGCGGCGACTAACAGCCTCACACTCTTCTCAAAACATTGTTCATCCGCGCTGTGCGGCGGTGTCGAGGGTGTTGAACTACAACTCACGTAAAGTTGATAATTCCACGAATGACTGCAATTGCAGATTTCGAACAGAGATGGCGACAAAGAGGAAAAATGCCGGACTGCAGCTTTAAGTTTAACTTGATGTACTAAAACTGAAAAAAAAAAAAAAAAACATTTTATATATATATATATAAAATGTATGTAAATATATTAAAAAAAATATACTAAAACTTTAACTAAAAATTAAGTGAAAAAGAATATAGAAATACAAACTAATTCAAAATATGAATAAAAACTATACTAGTATCTCTTAAATTGTATGGTGTGTGGTTTTTTGCACTTTTTGTTAAAAAACTCTTTATATCGCCTCAGTATCAGACACAATCAATACCCTTCTATCACTTGGACCTGTTTGAAAACTTGCTTACAAAGACTTAGGAACAGCTTCAGAGCAGCAACTGTCTTTGTAGACTTACTTTTGAATCAAAGACGCACTCTAATTCACAAGCTCCACCTTCAGGGTGAGGGATATAATGAACTTGAGACTTTAGGGCTGTTTGATTTAGTGCTTTGACAGAGGGAGTCTGGGTGAAGAGTAACCAGAGAACACTAACCACACCAGAGAAATGAACACCATCCCAAAACCACAACGCACCTGCCCTCGGCAGCATTGCTGGAATTATTAAGCCATCAATCCTTCAAATCAACCTTTCGGCAATAGAGCTTTGATAAATGAAAGCGTCAGAATGAAAGTTCATCCGGGGGGCTTTTAATTCAAAGTCTTTTGTCATAATAATTCTATCATGATTCTTAAACCTGTTGTATAGACCATTTGGGAAGAACACTATCTTCAAATCTACCAATCAATCTTCTGATTATTGTGTGCACACCAGTGTCTATGCTAGAAATGTGACATTGAAGACTGGAGTAATGATCCTGAAAATTCAGCTATGCATCACAGGAATAAATGATATTGCAAAATGTATTGAAATAGCATTTTTTTTATCGTAATAATTTTTCACAATATTACTGTTAAGGAGGTAAATGCAGCCTTAGTGAGAAGAAGAGACTCATTAACATTTAAAAATCTTACCAACCCCAAACTTTTGAACAGTATTTACAGTATATATTCCCAAAATCCTTTTCCCAATAATTCCAATATCACTTTTCCTATAGACATCTAATAAAGCACAACAATCCTGAAAATAAAAGCAATTAATACAGTAACCAGTCAAAGGTCTGCATGTTAATTAGTTTATGTACTATATGAATTTCTATACAAAACTTACATTATTTTTTATTTTATTTTTTTTTACTTTTTTTTAATCTATGAATGTGCAGAGTTGTAATTGACTTGCAATCTGATTATAGGAAGATAAAATACAAAAAAAAATGTGCAATTTTTTGGTCATTTCATAGTTTTGACGACTATCGTTATTCTAAAATGTGGAAAATAGTAATAAAGAATAACTGTCTTCAAATGTCTGACTGGTACTGCGTGTATTACAACTATAAAAAGATTCAAAATAAATCTTAACGTAAAGATAAATTAAATGAAACTACACAAACCATGTTCAAACTATGTTAAAGTCCCCCTGTAGTCAATCATTTTATCCCTTAAAACTCATCTTTGATCACCAAAATGACATATTTAAACATTTTTTCCTGTGAAAAAAAATTCTTCATGCCTTAAAATAGCTTGAATGTAACTCGACACCCTTGCTTCATTTAGTAGATGTGGTTCTATGAATATGCTAATTAGCCCCGCCTCCACTCACTCACACCAGCTCAGAATACCTGATCCACTCGGTCAACTTTACAGTAGTAAACGCTGCACAATCGTATCACTCTATACAACGTCGGACACGATAATTAATTATGATTAGCCTTGACTACGTTATCAAAGAGCTAATAATGTTTTGCTAATGAAAACAGAAAAATATACCGGGATAATCTGGCTTCTCTTGAGACTCCCCTGCTTCGCAGTAAGTCTGATATGCTAAAGCCCGACCGCACGTTGACATGATTGGTTACAAGGTAGTTTGTGACGCAAGAAACACCAGCGATTTCAAAACGCGTTTTTAAGACCGACTTTTGTCACTGCAGTTTTTAGGAGAAAATACTCAGCAGCAATGGTGTTGACATGAATTTGCTCATGGTTTGTCTTAAAGCATATTAAAAACTCCACATAGACATATAAACAACATTAAAACCTTGATTTTCACCACAGGGGGACTTTAAACACATATCTTACTCTAGTTAAGCAGTTGATAAGCATGGCTGATCAAGTGCTCCGTCTGAGACACAGAGGTGCCTCAAACTAGAACTCAACACTTAAGCAAGATGTTTGAGTGGGACGGCGGACAACAGCAGCCATGGCAACAACGCAAGCACAATGAAAGCATGAGGAATGTTCAGCAGGATTAACATTGCTCTTTTCCTCTCTGAGTGGACATTCATTAGTCAGGACTCTCGTACAAGACACTCCAACTCTCTAAGCAAAGAAAGTCCTTCAGCTTCAACCGAGCGGGGAAAAGATGGGCTCAAATTAGTGAGGAGAGAGAGAGAAGGACAGATTGAGTGAGTTGAGGGAAAAACTCATAAGAGGTGCCTCTATGTCGAGCAGCCTGGATCTCAGGTAACCGCGTGAGACTTAACTGAAAGTGAAATCTGATGCACACAATAGTTGGAGGCCATAACACAGGGAGAAACACACAATCAAACCACTGTTCTCTTCAAAGTATCTCCGCAATATGCTCTAGAAGACTTCAACATAGCTTAAATTGCACAGCAGCAGAAATAAACGGACAAATATTTCTAAAAATTCAATAGTAACTTACAGGAAGTAGCCGTCTGTGCAGCTGTTGCAAACCTCCGGCTCATCTGTTGTGGACACAAAACAGGCAATGATTACACAGCCCTGAATCTTGAAAAAAAAAAGGTTTGCAAAAAAAAAAGCCTAGTAATACCTGATTTGTATTAATTACCTATCTCTAGTTCTCTTAATTAATCTCCTAGTGTATTTAAGCCCATAGTTCTGTTTTACATGGTTGTCCTATTCTGTTTTCTGTTGATCCCCTGCGTCTTACCTTTTTTAGATTAATGATTAAATTATTAAATATTAAATTAATTATTACTGATGTGTTTGTTTTTCTCCTTTGTCACTGTGTGCTCACTGCAACCCGTTGTTGACAGAAAACGCTCCCTCGAGGACCACACAATGGACTTTTTAGATCTGGCTTGCCTCACCTACTATCCGGACAGCTAGTTCTGCATATTTTTCTACACCGGCCTCAGCGAGTGGTCCAAGGCCTGTGGATGGTCCTTGGGGGAATTTCGCCGCCTATGTAGAGTGGGTGCTGGTGAGTTGTGGATCTTCATTCACTGTCTGTGCTGCAGAAGACATCACCAGCCCCACTCCGGACCCAGAGCCCAGCCAGCCACCAACCAAGCCCAACAAGGACAGGATGCCAGAGTCCAACTGGTTGTTTGCCATGTGTTTTAATGAATTATACTTTCTAAAGGTGTAATAATGAATAGATAACTATTATAATCAATTATAACTGTGGTTACAGACCTTACAATGCATTATAAGGTGCAGACACAGAGCCTCGATGCCAGCACCAGAGCCGATTACTGACCAGATGCGTAAGCTGGCAAAATCATCTGTTCCTGTTGGTGTCCTCTTGGAGTTCGAGGGAATGGATTGGAGCCCAACCTATACTCATGTGAGCTGTGCAGGGTCTCTGTAACTTTATTTAATGGATTGGAAAATGTGAATCCACAGTCTCCTGTTGCCGCTGGTCCCGCCCAGCTCCAAGTCTCCCGCATCTCCGATCGTTCCGCACAGCTCCAAGTCTCCTGCTTCTCTGCTGGTCCCGCACAGCTCCAAGTCTTCTGTGTCTCCGCTGGTCCTGCACAACTCCAAGTCTCCTGCTTTTCCGCTGGTCCTGCACAGCTCCAAGTCTCCGGCATCTCCGCTGGTTCCGCACAGCTCCAAGTCTCCTGCTTCTCTGCTGGTCCCGCCCAGCTCCAAGTCTTCTGTGTCTCCGCTGGTCCTGCACAACTCCAAGTCTCCTGCTTTTCCGCTGGTCCTGCACAGCTCCAAGTCTCCTGCTTTTCCGCTGGTCCTGCACAGCTCCAAGTCTCCCGCACCTCCGCTGGTTCCGCACAGCTCCAAGTCTCCTGCTTCTCTGCTGGTCCCGCCCAGCTCCAAGTCTTCTGTGTCTCCGCTGGTCCTGCACAACTCCAAGTCTCCTGCTTTTCCGCTGGTCCTGCACAGCTCCAAGTCTCCGGCATCTCCGCTGGTTCCGCACAGCTCCAAGTCTCCTGCATCTCCGCTGATCCCGCACAGCTCCAAGTCTCCTGCTTCTCTGCTGGTCCCGCCCAGCTCCAAGTCTTCTGTGTCTCCGCTGGTCCTGCACAACTCCAAGTCTCCTGCTTTTCCGCTGGTCCTGCACAGCTCCAAGTCTCCGGCATCTCCGCTGGTTCCGCACAGCTCCAAGTCTCCTGCTTCTCTGCTGGTCCCGCCCAGCTCCAAGTCTTCTGTGTCTCCGCTGGTCCTGCACAACTCCAAGTCTCCTGCTTTTCCGCTGGTCCTGCACAGCTCCAAGTCTCCTGCTTTTCCGCTGGTCCTGCACAGCTCCAAGTCTCCCGCACCTCCGCTGGTTCCGCACAGCTCCAAGTCTCCTGCTTCTCTGCTGGTCCCGCCCAGCTCCAAGTCTTCTGTGTCTCCGCTGGTCCTGCACAACTCCAAGTCTCCTGCTTTTCCGCTGGTCCTGCACAGCTCCAAGTCTCCTGCTTTTCCGCTGGTCCTGCACAGCTCCAAGTCTCCGGCATCTCCGCTGGTTCCGCACAGCTCCAAGTCTCCTGCATCTCCGCTGATCCCGCACAGCTCCAAGTCTCCTGCTTTTCTGTTGTCCCGCACAGCTCCAAGTCTTCTGTGTCTCCGCTGGTCCTGCACAACCCCAAGTCTCCTGCTTTTCCGCTGGTCCTGCACAGCTCCAAGTCTCCTGGTTTTCCGCTGGTCCTGCACAGCTCCAAGTCTCCGGCATCTCTGCTGGCTCCGCACAGCTCCAAGTCTCCGGCATCTCTGCTGGCTCCGCACAGCTCCAAGTCTCCTGCGTCGTTGGTCAATACAACTTTTGGAATCTGTCCCACCCAGCCTCCCTCTCCTGCCTCCTCCGCCTATGCTAACCACTTCCTCAGCTCCACCTCCGCTGGCTCCCTTTAGTTCCTCGGCTCATCCTCTGTCTTTTCATCTCCAGCTCCACCTTAGCAAATGAATTCCCTGGCTCTGCCTCGGGCTGCCGAGCGCATCACTCCACCTTGGTCCACTGACCAGTCAGCTCCAGCTGTCATCACTCTGCCTACGCCACGGTCTTCTGGAATTCGGCTGCGCTCCACCCTCCACCCCTTTGGCTCCTTCTTGCTTCTCCTTCCCTTCAGCTCCACCTTGGTCCTCAGTCCCACTGGCTCTGCCTCAGTCTTCCAGCACCCTGGCTCCAACTCGGCCGCTTGTCACCATGGATCCACCTTGGCCTCCATGACCTACAGTGTTGCCCGTTCTCTGTATCTCCTCCTGGTGGTCAGATCTCTGACTCTACCCTGGCTCCTCCCACCTTCGGTTTCACCGTGGGCGCTGTCCTCAGGGTCGTCAGCTCTCCATCGCCTCCTCCATAAGGTTTTCCTCTGTCAGCCCATCCTTGGTCCCATCCCTCTGTAGCTCCACATACTCCTCCAGAGCTTCCAAACTCTCTCCTCTATTGGACTCCATAATCATTGCATAAATTATTAAAGACTGCTTTTGTTTATCTCCTTCATCATTGTGCACTCATTGCAACCCATTGCAGACAAAAACATCAGGGGCTGCGTTTCCGAAAAGCATCGTAAGCTTAAGTAGATTATAGAACTATTGCCACTAATGGTCTCTACGATCAACTTAGTTCACAATGCTTTTGTGAAACGCAGTCTAGGTCATGTTTGCATTTTCTTCTGTCACAGGCCATAATTCTAACCTTGAAATCAGGAATAGAATATGTGAAAATCGGCTGAGAATTGAACAAAGAGTTGTAAACTTGCTCAGAGTAAGACAGGAATCGTGTCTTTGTGGCAGTTTTTCTGGTGATCAAGGGATAATACAAGACTTCTTCACCTTAAAAATGATTGTCAAAAGCAAAAATGCTACAGAATGCAAATCATATTGTGTGAAAAGGTGTGACATTCTAGAGCAAAACAGACTCTAGAAGACTCTCCGACTTTTTTTCAGAGCCAGCACCCCAAAAATAGTAAGAAAAAATTTCTTTACAATTTAATAGAACAGAAATTACGTAATACTGCACTATTAATGAAACATAAAATACTATACACAGTCATTAAAAGTATGTGTTACTTACCTGTGGAACATGTTTTACAGCCGATACCGCAGTCTATACATTCTCGTGTATCCGGGTCCTGAACCTGACCTGTTCAAGCAGATGTATGTGAGTATCAGACTTTTTGTATGTTACATGATTATTTAGAAGTTATGTAATAGCTAGTTCTTGTCATTGAATTTGATTCCAACTCCAGTTTGTTTTTATTTGTTTTATTCGTTTAAACTGATGTTTAAGGCATGCCACTACAGGTGAGCAGGGTAAACGTTTTAACAGTTGTCACACTATCACAGTGACATCACAGTACATTAAGACAATTGTTTTGTATGACACAATCTCTGAATTGTTATGTTTAAATATGCAAATCAATTAAAATCAAGATAGCAAAATCAATTCAAATTTAATTTAGCAAATTCGTTAAGTGATATCTGGAACTGCTGCATGTTGCAACGCTGTATTAGAATTCAACTTTAATTTTATTAAAGGATAAACTCACCAACTCCACACAGGACTGTCAGACAGATGCCACTTTGAAGCTTGTATCCTTCTCTGCACTTGGCACACACGTTGGCATCAGCACAGATCTCACAATTAGGCATACATGGAAGGCAGGTGTACTGGTCTCGGTCCGGATAAAACTCTCGCGGGCAGTGTAGTCTGCAGTGACCCTGATACAGGAAGCGCTCATTCCCCTCCTCATCTGCAATGACCAACAAAATCCATTTAACATGACACGGTGACTCATGAACTTTTTTAAATAATGATCCAGTTACAGTAATCAGAGGATAGAATAAGATTTGATTTGGGATATAAGAAGCTCAGCTAGTATTTCAAACCAAGAGTATTACAATGCCAGGAGCTTTTTGTAAGACATTTGTATGTCCTTTGTATGTCCTACCAGTCAAATGGTAGACTAGTTAATAAATTACTGCATGTTTTAGGCCTACTGCATTACTGACTTAATAAATTACTGCATGTTTAATATTATCACATTAGTCAGAGGTCATTCCAACACTAGCAATATTGGGTGATTGTCATGAAAGCATGAGCATGTGTGATATTTTGAAGATTCAGACTTTTTTTGTTGTTGACATTATTACCATGCCTATTAGGTGCATTTGAACTCCCAATTATCATTACTGTGAGATTTACTTGTGAGTTTTTGCAATTCTGTAGTTCCAACAGTAAAAAATAATGTAGCAGTAAAACAAATCATTATATACTTTCCACAAAAATATAAAGCAGACATTTTCAACACTGTTGATCATGTGACACTGAAGACTGGAGTAATGATGCTGAAAATTCAGCTTTACCATCACAGGAATAAATTCAAATTTGAAATATACTAAAATAGAGAACAGTTATTTTAAATTGTAATAGTATTTTACAAAATTATAGTTTTTTACTGTATTTTTGATCAAATAAATGCAGCCTTGGTGAGTAGAAGAGACCTCTTTCAAAAATATTATAAGGTCTTACCGAACCCAAACTTTTGAAAATATATTTTGAAATAATCATGATTTTATTAAATAAATGTCTTACAAAAGGCAATTCTTTCAAATTCTGGCAATGAGAACTGGGAGTAAACATTTAATGCAAATATTTGCTGTCTTAAAACAGATTGCACTTTTTTATGCACTGATTTGAAAATGATTTTGAAGTGAAGTATTACATGTTCTTGGCAGGTTTTGTGAAATAAATGCACTAAAAGATTAGAAGCCACACTATATGCTTATTCTTTCTGCAAACAAATTGCTACTATATGAAACTCAAATATCAACATCTGCTTGTGTCCATCATGAACTTTTCTTTAAATAGAAACAGTAGTAACTATCTGGCTGACAGGTTTTGCCAAGACCAGGACACATAAGCAAGGGCTATGGAGAGTGAATTGGCACTTTTGGCAATGTTGTCACACACTGATGGATGCAAGGCCTCCCCCCTCAAACCGGACTGGGCTGCAGGGAGCGAGATTAAGAGTTAAAGCACTCTTCTTTGAGATGCTTGAAAAGGAGGGATGGCAACCAAGAACGCCTACAAACAGAATTCAAAAGAGTGGCTTGGTTTGCTATAGACAAGAGTTTGCGTATTCATTCTTAAAGGAATATTTCAACCAAACATTTAAATTCTGCCATTATTTACTCACACTCATGTCGTTCCAAATCTGAATTATATGCATCAAAAGGTACTGTATTTGATTTGAAAGCTATAGTGTATGGCAAGATTATTGAACAATGATTTAAATTTCAAACTGTTCCTCCACTGAAAAAGAAGTGCCATAACAAAAACGTAGATAGGTGTGTTCCAATTCACACCTAATTCTGCACTTTTCTATGCCATTTTGTAATATAAACAATGAGTAGTGTGTTCACACTGAAAATTGCAAACGACAACGAATTTATTCCCGATGGACAAAATCATGTCCGGCCCTACATTCTTTTCTAGTTTGAGAAGCCTTTTCACTCGGATATACGTCACAATGGGGAAGAAAAGACTATCACAACTTATGTTTATTGCTGACTTTAAAGGAAGCCATCAGACTTTGATGCTTTATAACAAATTAACCATTGAAAATGTAGATGGTAGAGTACATAGTGCATAGTGTAAGGTACATCATTTGGGACACAACAGAAAAGATACACTTTAGGCCTATACTTCTATACTAAAAGGCTAGCTTTAAGGCACAGTGAATCTGAAATTGCTGAGACTGAGGCTAAAGAAAAAGCCAGGAGCTACTGTCAGAAGTATCAGACATTGTCCAAACATTACCAGAAACATTATCAGCTTTACCGATACTGAAAAGGAAGGTCTAAGTTTTTCCCACTCCCATGTTTGGCAGTTAAAAGAATACTGTTAAACTTAGTTTGGCCTAGTAGGCCAAACTGTTCAAAAGCATAGTCGATTGATTTGTGTTTAAAATTACCTTAATTTCAACTCTTCCTGTAATTAAAAGTGGGCACGACACTTTCATGTTTGAGGTCACTAAACAAACTCTCTTTTGAGGTAAAGCACTCTTTGTCACTTTGATAAATAGGGAGAGCGGCTTCATTGTTTTTCCGCAGCAGCTGTGCAGGGAGGACTGGGAGGTTTGCCTTCCCAATTGTCTCTTGGAAAACCCTTTTGTGAACCTGCACAATACTGCCACAGATTCGTACCACAATGGCCAAAACAACCCCAAAATGATTTTGAATTAAATTTTAATTAGCACACAACACGTACTTAGAAACAGCTAGCTTCACATAAGTTTTTCCCTGGTATAACTTGATTTGAATTACATAGTAAGCTAATGTTTGTTACCACAACGACATCGCTATGATAGAAAAAAAAAAAATAGTTGCGCATGCGCGCTGACAGCAGGGATATGCACGGTCCAAATGGAGGCACCTGCTTTATTCAATATACTGTACTTCAGTGTTAAACTAAAGAATATAATAGTGAACTATCACTTACCTAAACCACAAGCGGTGCACTCGTATAGCTCATGACCCTCACACTCCGTGCAGGTGGGGTGACAGAGAACGCACTGATTTTTTAGTAAGAACTGTCCGCTGGGACAGGACCGCATCGGGGATTTGGCTTGAATAAAACCGAGACAACATAATGATAAAGTAAACAGTGTCCGAGCGGCGTTCATCATTCGCGATGTTCTGCAGCGCATCTATTCGCCATACACACACTCACACACACAGTTCATTCAGTGAAGTGGGTCAGCCCTGCACTGCCAAATGACAACGAGCGTCTAAATAACAAAACTTGCTCAACAAGTTGCTTTCAAGGGGATTGGTCAACGGGCCTTTGGGGTCCACCCATTCCTCTGGTCCTTTTCGCATTTGATATTTAAAGGACAAGGTAATGTTATGCACAAACGGAAAACACTTAATTATTCAGTGCTTCAACCTCCATTCTAACATTGAGAATATTTAACAGTAGGCTAAAGCACAGTTCATAAGCCCTTTATAGAGTACTTAAATGTATAATAATAATATAGTATTATTAATATTTAAACAATCATGTATTCATATTAATAATAATAATATTGTTATATAATACCGTAATATATTCATTTAATTTAATGTGATAGCTGCACTTAAAAAAACATATGCAACAGATGTGTCTCTGTTGTACATCTTATAAAAAGCATCTTAAAGTTTTGCTCATTTTTGCCAAATTTGCTCTGACTCTAAGATTGATGTGAGCAGGATTTTTAAGGCCATAACATAAATTGGATTAAGGACATGCACATTAAATGTTTGCTTTTAAAGCTACTCCTGTGTGGTTGTTTTTACTCGCTATTTAAGGTCCCTTTTTAGTTGACGGGAGTCTGCAACTTTCAGAGCTTATTGGGTTTTTGGCACAAATATAATCTCACTTTATTTTCTTCTTTTCAAGCCTTTTACACACATGAGATGTGATAGGCTTTTTCCTTGACTTCATATTCCAGATTTGTGAAATGCACATGCTGCATGATATTGTTGTCTCATGCGTTTCTCTTATTTCTGTCCCAGAGGACTTCGGCTCTTGTGAAGCTGTCTTGGCCTCATTGGTAAACAGATTGTGTGCGCTAACTAGCCTAAGGTATAAAACAATATATTCTCTGTGGATCATTTTGATATCTTGCCATAGTTTGACATACAACATTCCTAAATGTTGACACTATTTTAGTATAAATGGGTTAATAAATAAAAATGTTATAGACAGCTGCAATATTTCATATTTTTTGTCTTATATCCATCATAAGGGATTTCAAAGAAGAGAAAAATTATGTTTTCCTGATTCATAACCTGTAAATCCTATTCTAGAGTATGTACTACTACATTCTCTGGTACTACTGAGCTCTGTGCAAATCTATGAAATGGTAAATGACCAGTAGAGGGCGTCAGAGTGTACAGTATTGGGGATTTATCAGTTCAAAATACAGGGCCTCCTTTGCTTTAGTAGAAAGCCTTAGTGTATTTGTAAATATTTTCGGTTCTTTACTTGCTAAACCATGGTAATACTCTTAACAAAATAATTAACATATATTTAGAGAAGCAAAGAGTTTTTTTTTCTCGGGATATTATTATTATTATTATTAGGCCTAGCTATACAATATCTCTCCAGTTACATGACAGAAGACAGATTGTGGCAAAATACCAAAATGCTTCAATTAAATTCAATGTTGTGGCATTATAATCAATGGCCATATTAAAATGAAATCCAATTTTGAGGAATAAATTATTCTGAGAAATATAATTTAAAAATGTCCAAAACATTTTTTTAAACGACAACGGAAACAATATTTGTATTTGTTTTATTTTTCTATTCTACTTTTCTGTTTTATAAAAAAAGATTGTTTCAAGCCATTACTTGTGCGAAATGTTCTTTGAATATAAATACGTAATAATTCACATAAATACAAAACAGGATGAAAAACGTGCGCCTTTTATCTATCACCATTATAATATTTTAATATTAATAATAGTACATGGTCTAACAGTGTTTTGCTTTTATACCAAACAGTATTGTATAGTTAAATAAAGTAGGCTACCACAAACTGAGCCAGCAGTCCTACAGGCAGCTGTTTTCCAGAGGTGGGCGGGGTCTGCAGCTCATTTATTACGTCAATCAATAGGCATGAAAGGGGATGTGGGCGGAGTCTGTTGCTTCTTTACGTCATTCAAGTGGGGGTAAGAGATGAGGTGGGCGTGTCGTCGGTGTCACTGCTGCATCAGTGAATGACATGAGGATGTGAAAGAATACAGCGGGTTGGGCATATGATTTTAAAGCCATTCTTGAGCGGACTGATATATGGACGATGAGGAATACACCAAGGACTGACTGAGGAACGGTAAGGCGCGTCTTAAATAATAGCCTACTGGCATAAGGAGCGTCTGTGTGTGCAATAGGAGGCTGTAGGGATCCTTGCGCAGGTGCACCTGTCTTCTGTACGTGGCCGGACCGCTATAAGACGCATCTTGCGGGTATACAGTGTTTTTATTTATTTATTTTCCCAATCGAGGCCAGTTTCAACAAAGGAACTTGTGTGGCATAATAAATAGCCGATTATTTGCTGGATTTGAGGTAAGGGCGTCTTTCCAGCGCATCATCATCAAATGCATTGCGATATGATTGGGGATTGAATTTTCTTTGTCTGTACACACATTATATGACTATATATCAGTATGGGTTGGGACTGTTGCGTAACAGGCTGACAGGGAAAAAAAAGCCGTTTGTGGATTACAAAATAATGATCAAATATATCCTATTAGGCTGTATTTGATGTAGGATAAGAGGAGGATGATAGGTGGATGCATTCATGTTCATTGCCTCTGTATGCACAAATCCCTGGCAGAAATCAGCATGTGTGTGTGTGTGAAGAAGGCTCTTTGGTTATTTGACCTATAGATGCTTTTAATATATTGCCTACTTTAGGTGATATGGGCTGAAGGTACCTGTAAACAACCTATACTAGCAATGCAATGGTGCGTTTAGGCCCTGAGCCGGGCTGTTGAGCTCAGTATTTATTTATGTTTCTTTTATTTGAGCTTAAGGTGCACTCAGTCATTTTTTTCTAAAGCAAAGTTTTAGTAGGCTAATGCACAACAGTTTTGGAAAAAATCTGTAAAATGCTGAGATGAATTTTAGACAGACTGGTGGTTCTCAACCAAGTGGTTGCATTAAACTTCTAGGGAGCTTCAAGATTACTTATTTATAATTATAAAAAATAAATTAGGGTACATAAAGTGTGATGTACAGTTAGTTGGGCATTATTGCTGGTCACAAAGTGGCAAGATACTAAATAAATAATTACTTTGAAAAAATATTATTTTTGAGTTTGAAACATTGTATTATCTTGTAGAGACCATCTGCGCAGGACTGCTTCCCGTAATTGTACTCCTTAAATTGTAACTTTAATGGAGAACATTTGTCATCATTCCAGAAGTAAATATGCTGTCTATATTGTTGAATTGTTCAAAATATTGTTTAATCATATAGATTTGAGAATCACTGCTCTAGGCAGATCAATTTCCAAAAAATAACTCTTATTTTACATGGAGCGGGTCAGCCCCTCAGGCGCCATTTTGAGATCATGTGACCAGAGTCTATTATTAATTGCAAAAATACTGTTTTCTTCATATAGGCCTAGAACTTTAAGCAAGTTCTTAAAATGCTATATAAAAAATACATTTAAGTATAAACAGAGAAAAATACAGGAAAAGAAACAAAACAAAAGATCAACAACTGCAGTTACATTTGCTTCATTTGATTTATGAAATATTGTTGCTTTGCCTTAGTTAAAAAAATATTGGGAATTTCGTAGCTGGCCAAAAGAGTATGTTTGTAAAATCAGATACCATATCTTAGGTTACATTTACTTTGTTTTACTTGTTTGTGCAGCGCAGAGCAGCTCTCTAACACTGTATGACATGACAGACAACTAGTTGTCCAGTCCAGTTGCGTTCACACAGCACAGGTTTTCGGAGTCCTTAAAATAACTGAACTGTGTGTGAACATAGCGTATTAAGGAGTCAAATAGTGGACTGACAACCGTATTCTGCTACTGTCTGAACATGGCCTTTAGATTCCTGATGTTGACTCCTGAATGATTCTAACTTGTATAACAGTGTTAATATTTTGTGCATGCGGAAGTCATTCGGGAAGTTATTGGAGGCCTGAATTCAAGCTTGGCCTCTAACGCTCTTGTCAGTTTGTTTTAGCATTAAACAGCACTCACAAGAACGCATTAAATACCTTGAAAAATATTTTCTTTCTTATTTTCTTATTTTTCTCTGTAACAGGAGACTTTCATCCATTGAAGTTAGACATTTGTGGCAATGTTCTTTATAATGGTATGTGCATCCCTTTGTTTTGTCTTTGAGTTTTTCGTAATGGTGATTTAAAAAAAATATTTAGCATATTTATGTGCATTTTTAGGATATGTATATAGACACACTCACCGGCCACTTTATTAGGTACACCTTGCTAGTACCGGGTTGAACCCCCTTTTGCCTCCAGAACTGCCTTAATTCCTCGATTAAAAGATTCAACTAGGTGCTGGAAACATTCCTCAGAGGATTTGGTCCATTGACATGAAATCATCATGTAGTTGCTGCAGATTTGTCGGCTGCACATCCATGATGCGAATCTCCCGTTCCTCCACATCCCAAAGCTGCTCTATTGGATTGAGATCTGGTGACTTTGGAGGCCATTTGAGTTTAGTGAACTCATTGTCAATGTCAAACCAGTTTGAGATAATTTGAGCTTTGTGACATGGCGTGTTATCCTGCTGGAAGTATCCATCAGAAGATGAAACACTGTGATCATAAAGGGACGGACATGGTCAGCAACAATACTCAGGTAGACTGTGGTGTTTAAACGATGCTCTGTTGGTACTAAAGGGCACAAAGTGTGCCAAGAAAATATCCAACACACCATTACACCACCAGCAGCCTGAGCCGTTGATACAAGGCAGGATGGATCCATGCTTTCATGTTGTTTACGCCAAATTCTGACCCTCCATTTGAATGTCGCAGAAATCGAGACTCATCAGACCAGGCACGTTTTTCCAATCTTCTATTGTCCAGTTTTGGTGAGCCCATGCAAATTGTAGCCTAAGTTTCCTGTTCTCATCTGACAGGACTGTCACCGGTGTGTGTTCTGCTTCAAGGTTCGACATGTTGTGAGTTCAGAGATGCTCTTCTGCAGACTCCGGTTATAACCAGTGGTTATTTGAGTTCCCTTTCTATCAGCTGGAACCA